TCTGGAGGTGTGAATTCCAAGAGAATAGAAGCTGCTTTTGTAGTTAGCAAGCCATTCATGGCTACCCCTCTGATATTTATAAACTAGAAGATTTACCTGGTGTTGCTCAGGTCCTTCAAGACAGGGGGTTGAGGTATGAGGGTGCAGGAGTAAATGTTGGGGGCGAGGAGGGCCTTAGGGCAGGGAACTGGGTGTGCGTGGAGAGGTGCTAGACTCAGAATTTGGGGGGGTGAGGAGAGGCTCAGGGAAATGGTCTGGAGGTGTGTGGGATGCTGTAGTCAGGGTTGGGGGTGAGGAGGAGCTCAGGGCACAGAATGAATGCATTTGTATGAGATGCAGGACTCAGGTTGAGGGATGAGGAGGGGCTCAGGGAAGAGGACTGGGAGGTGCAGGAGCTTGTGGGGGCCATGCTGCCCAAACAGCAGCTCCCTGGGACTGACCACAGTGGGTGGGGGAGGGGCGGGGGAGAGAGGAAAGCAGCCTAAGCAGTGGCTCCCCAGAGCTGTCCCAATGGAGTTATTATAGCTGTCCCGGACCCTATCTGTGGCCCCTTGCTGATCCCCTATGGTCATTACACAATATAACTATCCCTGCTAGCAGCCCTCTCCTTTTCCGTGTTATGAAAAGAAGTCTCATTCCAGGCACATCCCATTGTCCTGACACAAACAAACCCTTACCTTGCTTTAAGTTATGATAAGATGAAGATTTATACCAAATTTGGTGGTCCTAGCTCTTACCATTTAGGAGGGTAAACTTAAAAAACAACAAATAGTCTGGTAGCACTTTAAAGACTAACAAAACATGTAGATGGTATCATGAGCTTTTGTGGGCACGACCCCCTTCTTCAAATGAGCCCACAAAAGCTCATGATACCATGGACATGTTTTGTTAGTCTTTAAAGTACTATAAAACTATTGTTGTTTAAGTTTATCCTGTACAGACTAACTTAGCTACCCGCTGAAGCGTTTAGGAGGAGTTCTTGAACAGACAGAACAGACAGATTCGCTCGCCCATAAACAAACTCTTTCAAATATATAATAGATTGCTTAATTTATAGCAGTAAACTGCAAAGCTTCATGTGGCCTGTACTTTGAAGGTCACACCAGTGATTTTAACCATGAACTTTGTGACTCATGAAGGCATAAAGTGGGGGGGAGGAGAATGATTTCTGTCTCTTCAGAGGCAGTAGTTTCTAAATGAACACAATTACAATTACTTCCAGTCAGTAAAAGTACTTGAAATCTAAAGTCAGATTTTCTCAGATGAAATTAAAAATTTGCCCCCCAAAACAAAGAATCTACATTTATTTTTGGGTATATTTTATATAAAGATCACTAAAAAGTGATGTTCTTTGACAGCACTCATTGGATTAATGTGCTTGCACTATACATTCGGACAAACATTTTAAAAAATCTATTAAATGAGTTATAACACTTTATATATTATAAAATATAGATCTCATTTGCATCTCAATACCATGTAATCAGACCTGACTGGAGTTATTCATTAGGTCAAAATGCTGCAAATTCAAAGCCTCTGTTGAACCAGCCATGCTGTGATGTTGGCAGCAGCACACTTTTAGTAATTTATTAACTTCACGTGTTGTACTATGAAGGAAAAGTCACAGAAAGGAGGCACTGAGAAAATTGATATGTCCAGGCATATTGTCACAGTAGAGGAATTTCTTGTTGTACATTTCTTGCATCTTGCATTCTGATTATTTTTTTCCTCTTGATAATTGTCTAGTTTCACATGTTTTGGAGATACATTTCCTTGTTTTGGATTTACATTTTAAGGCAGTTTTTAAAATCTTTGCCTTTTGAGGGAAATAATTATTTTGTGCACATTTTAAAGAAACATTTGAGGATTTTGTATGTCATCCTCAGACAATCAGAGGTCAACATAGTTCTGAATATTCATTTTATAGGCCAGTGTCCTGCCCTGAACCCTAGCTATTCAGTAGGTTGAGAACTTGTATAACTAGGGCAGTAGCAGCCATGATGTAGGAGGGCCTTGTTAGAAGACAGCACTAAAAACTGAAAAACACACATTCTCTGGTAACTATACTCCAGCTCTGCTGCTACTGCTGAGGAACCCTGTTTTTCATTGTAATGTGTCACTAATCATGTCCTTAGTAGCCTGGCTTTTTCTTTGTGTCCTCTAGGAAAATCACATTTATCAGCCACCTTTGCACTTTGCTGTTCCTTTTTCTGACAGACCAAAAAAAAGCATTTCAGAGTCACAAAAGGTCCAACAAGAATATTCCCTCTGTCTATGATAACTTGGTACTAGTGATGGCCTAATGTAAAAATGGCTTGGAAACCTAATCTTGTATATATTTTATTCTCTATTGTTATTAATCATTTTACTTTATTTCTGAAGTACTTCACTCCATCCTTTTCTTTTACCTTTGCCTAACACTCAAAATACTGTACAATATTAGCATTAAAATATGTCAAATAACAAGGACTAAGGTTTCTTCTGCTGTTGTCTGAGTATATTTAAAAGGGAGCAAAGAACACTAAGAGAAGTAATGAGTATATTTAATTGTATTGATAATATCTCAGTAATACCCATTTCAGGCCTTGCCACTTTTACATTATTTGTATTATACAATAATAAAAATATTAAATTCCTGCTTTATTAGGAGCCTTCAAAAACCCTAATGCTGGCTCTGTTTGGTACCATTTAGGGGGAGTGAAAAGGAACAAGGCATTAGTGGTAGCACCTAGCAATTAAGATACTGGGTTAGAAGGAGTGGAAGGTGGGCAAAATGGGTTGAATTTCATGTCCTTTATAAGACTTAATATTTTTCAAAATAAGCTCCCAAAGCTAGCCCCACTCAGTGCCCCTATCCAGTGAGGAAGGGAGCTAGCAATATTGTTGACAGGAATTATAACTTCTGCCATCATAGGGAAAAGAAAAATAGGGGTCAGAAAAGACTGGGCACAAGGCCTCCCTAGCATGAGGGGGCAGCAGGCAGATGAAGGAATGGAAGGGGTACAGATCCCCTGGTTTGGGGGAATGAGGGAACACATAAGGGCTGGGGCAAGAAACAAGGATTGTTCCGCTTTCTGGGCTTTCCTTGCTTTTATTAAAATTAAGACCATATCCTGAAGACATCTCTGCTCATTTGTCCAGTAAAGAGGAGAGTTAGTAGTAATGGAGACTATATACGGCAGACCCAACTGGAGATTCATGCCCCTTTGTGGGGTTGGACCCTGCTCAGTGCCACATTCATACCACAACTAAGCTGGCAGAAATAAGGACAATAACTGTGTAACAGGGAGACCAGGGTTTTCATGTCTCTTTTGAGAGGCAAGACAAAGGTAGGAGGCTGCATGCCTGCTTCTGAAATTAGCTTTTTAAACCCCACTCCAGATGGGTTCTTTATTGGCTGAGCAAAATTAGGCCAGACATTGAAATTGATATTTCTCTGGCTGTATTGAAAGCAATAACTTTTGAACATGGCATTCAATCAATGTAAAAGCATCAGGGAATGTTATAGACATCAGTGGTCAAAATCCTGTTGATTTTAGGGAAAATGTACAAGGGGGACATACAGTGCCTGGTGGATCTGATTTGCAAACCCTTTCGTTCATCTTTGTAAGGCTTAGAGATCAAAGAACTGGTTAACAGCAGCCATCAGCACCTTCCAGCATAATAGAAATAGTTTAAAATGTTGACATCCTGGGTGTGTCTAGACTACACATCTCTGTCGACAGAGAGATGTACATTAGGCACACCAAAATTGCTAATGAAGCTGGGATTTAATTATCCTGTGCCTCATTAGCATGAACATGGCTGCCACTTTTTTTTAAACTGAGTTTTTCTAGGAAAAAACGGCAGTCTAGATGCGTATCTGTTGAAAATAAACCCTTTTCCGACAGCTCCTGTAAACACAAGGGCTACGAAAACACAGGAGCTATCGAAAAAAGGTTTATTTTTGACAGATCCGCGTCTAGATTGCCATTTTTTTCGAAAAAATTCTGTTTAGAAAAAAAGTGGTGGCCATTTTTATGCTAACGAGACACAGTATATTTAAATCTCAGCTTCATTAGCAATTTCACTATGCTTGATTTGTATCCCTCTGTGGACAGAAGGATGCAGTTTAGACATAGCTCCTGGCTTACCAAAAAGGGAGAAAGGAGGGATTGGGGACCACATGGGAGTCCATGGCACAGGAGAAGAATAAAGGACTTTGGTATGGGGAAGGGGAGGCTATGTAGCCCTTGGCATGGGAGGAAAGGGGAGCCACAGTGCCCTGGCATATGGCAGAGTGATGGGAGTGGGTGCATGCAGACTCTGCCACATCATATATGGAAAAGAGGGGGCACAAGGAGCTTTTGTCATGGGGCAGCAGGCAGAGGAAGGAATGGGAAAGATTTAGAGCCCCTGGCTCGGGGCTGGGGGGACACCGAGCCCTTGGCAACAAGGACTGGGGCACTGATTGCAGGGGCTCTTTGCACTGGAGGGGTATTATGTACACAGGGCTTGGGGATACAAAGAGCCCCAGAAGGGTGCACTGCCTGAGCTCAGCCTCCAGAAACAAGGGAAGGGGACAACCCGTTTCCCAGCGGTGACCAGCACCATTTCTGAGCTCTCCCCTCACCCACCAACAGCCAAAAAGACCAACCGCCCACCCTGCCTGCCTGCCCGCCCCTCCCCCACTTGACGCACAGCCCCAGCAGCCTGGGCTCTTGAATGACTCATTCTTTTCTTCCTCCTCCCCCCCCCTCCGCTCTAGTTCTCGCGAGTTTTGACCTCTATAGACGCGATGTCCTTTAGAGCGCAGGGGGGAAAGAGAGGGGATTGATTGACACGAGCGACAGCCAATAATTTAGGCGGAGGGCGAGCGGCTAGCGAATGGCAGTGCGAGGGTGGTGCGGCCCGCCGCTGGCTGATTGATCCCAGCCGTGGCGTCGCTCAGTCGGAGCGAGAACATTCTAGAGGTGAGTACGCGGCAGCCATTGCAGGGGCGACCAGCAACCGCCCCCTTCGGCTTCAGCGGCGTCCGCCCCTCCCCTTCCCAGGTGCCGCCGTTCACGGTGCCCCTTGTGTCTCCCCCGCAGATTGACTGGCGCCGCCGCCGCCGCCGCTGCTGCTGATTCCGCCCGCCCCAGGACGCTCGGATCCGGCGGCTGCGGCGCCCGCCTCCTCTCCGCCCCGATATAAGCGCCCATCGGTCCCGTTCTCCTTAAAGACTCGGCTTCGTCGCAGCCCGGGGCGAGCAGCGTTGGGTTTATGTCTTTATTGGACGAAAACGGTGAGCGGCTGCCGGGGCGCGATCCGAGGGGGAGCGTCCCGGGGCGGGGGAGCGGGGTCCTCGCAGCCACCTCGGGCGGCGGGCGAGGTTCTCGAGAAGCGGGGGCAACGGGTGGCGCTGACCGCCCCAGTCGTGGTGGCCTGTTCCCTGGTCCCCGTGCGACGAGGCAAAATGGCGGCGGCTGGGCCCGCGCCTCGTGATGCTGGGGGGGGGGAAGCTGTGTGGCGCAGCTAGAAATCCGCAGCGTGGGGGGGCTGCCCTCCAGGGGTTACATCGGGAGGGGCGAGTTAGAGGGGAGATGCCGCGGAGGCCCCCGCATGCGCAATGGGGGCTGCCCCCCCCTCCCATTTTCTGTTTAGGGCTGACTCAGTGCTTCCCTTCGCTGCATTTATGAGTCATCCCATGGCTGAGGCGGGCGGAGGCTGCTCGCTCAGCGCGAAGGGATCCGGAGGCGGTGTCAGGAGGTGGGTGGAGGCTGCGGTCGGCGGCAGACAAAAGCCAGTCATGTGTCGGAGACCACACGCTTTCCTGTCTCCTTCTTCCTGAAGTACCTGGTTCCTCCATGACCGTGCAGCCACGTGTGTCGGCCACATGATGACTGCTTTCAAGGTGCTGTGGCAAGCACCTCTGGGAATGAAACTCAATCCACTGTGCTTAACCCCCACTCCCTCAAATACAAGGGTTCTTCATTGCTGCTCTTTGGCAAGACTAAGCCTGATTGTGTCAACTAGCTCCCATGGTGTAAGCTGGGGTTGTTTTTTTTTTTTTTTTTTGCATAGTAAAACTCAAGGGCGCTCTAGTTTCTAAAGCTTAAAATTAGTCTAGTGGCACTCTAACAAATTTATTCATGTATTGGATTGTAGTCTTTCGTGAGCTACAGCTCACTTTCTTCTGAGGAAGTGTTATGGCTCATGAAACCCTATGCTCTAATGCCCCACCAGATTCCTTGTTTTTGCCATGCAGACTAACAACTACCGCTCTGAAGTCTTTTTTAAAATTAGCTTTCACTCCTAGGATTTTACATGTATTCTGGGGAAGAACTGTCTGTTATATTGGAAAGGGAGCTGTGAGCATGGTTAGGTGATCTAACTCTTTCTGGGGAGAATAAAAGTAGAGAAACTAAAGGTACCATTATGTCAAAACCAAGTTAACCTTTGTGGTATGCCATCCACTATACCCCATCCAGCTAACTGCCTTTCTTGATCAGCTACTCTAAATGTGACTTCCAGGTAGTGCTACTAAGTATTGGGGAAACGGTGGGTTTTTTCCAGTATGGAAAAACGCATTCTTGCACAAAATGCCTGAAACTATAATGGCAACAAAACAGCGCATTTCTTTCAGAATAAGCTACTTGAACTAGCAATGTGTTAGTGTATCCAGTCATTCTAAATAACTGAAAAGATTAAACTTGTCTCGGGCAGTATCTCACTAACTGGTGAGTCAATATTTAATCACAGTACCATTAGAAAATAGGTAACCTTTTCGTAACAGCAAATATTTGGTGTAAGTGATGCAATAATAGGGTTCTTCTGAGATGCTTGGGAAGGATTGGGTCAGTCAATGAACATTTATGTGCCACAGAAGTAAGTCTAGAAATGTAAAACAGCTTAAATATTTGGAGCGTGTCTGGTAGTACTAGGTATTTCATGGCACTCTGGATAATTAGATGTAAGTAAACCAAACAGTTAAAAATTAGCCTGATCAGTAATACCATAACCAAGGGAACTTGAGGTCTGTTTTTTCTTTGACTGCTTTAGAAGAAGCCAGAAGACTTTGCATCCTGTGCCCCTTAATAGGCAAGGATGTTGTGTGTCATACTTTTCCCATCTGATCATACAACATTCCTCTGATAACACTAGTAGGTGGAAACGGAGTGGGGAGAGAATGTTGCATCCTGTGTCAAGTTGGCATTTTGCAGAACAGCAGATGTTACAGTAGCAGATGTTCAGCTGCAGATCCTCAACAACAATTACACAGGCAAATATAACTAAATGCATAGGAAACTCTTGTTCTCCAAATAGTCTCACTTCTCCTGGTCACAACAAACTTCAGATCCAATAATGTCCTGCAGCATGAATATATTTGATGAAAGTTCAGCCTAAACTGTCCCCTTTATTTTTTTTAATTTATACACTTGCAGAGCTGTTGCGCAGCCATTGGTACCTGTATTGGGGGAACATAGCATACAAGCAAGAACCTTACAGCCTCAGTGGCAAAAACTTTTTCATGTCAGAGACCGAGAACTCTTGCAGTCGTTTATGTCATCCCGTCTTCTCCAGACAGAAGATACCAAAAAGCTGCAATCAAAGATCTCTTCATCTTATTGATAAAGCTACTAATAAGACAAAATGTCTGTCAATGTCAACCGCAGTGTTTCAGATCAGTTCTATCGCTACAAAATGCCCCGTCTGATTGCAAAGGTAATGCTTCCTGATCTCTAAAGTTTGTTATTTTTATAGAGCTTTTTATTGACGTATCTTTTCTAAGCATTTTGAATCAGTATTGTTCCCACTTTTTTTCGAAAAACAATGATATGAAGTGACTTGACCAAGGTCACACAGTAGGTAAATGGCAGAGCTGGGAATAATGGACACCAGCTGTCCTGAGTGTTAATACAATGCTTTGTCACTATACTCTAAGTTTTCTATAATACTGATACTGCTTTTAAACAGTGTTATAGTGACATAAATATCTGAGTTTAACTTTTCCCCTTAGGTTGAGGGCAAAGGAAATGGAATAAAGACAGTTATAGTCAACATGGTTGACGTTGCAAAGGCGCTTAATCGGCCTCCAACGTGTAAGTAACATGAAATTCTGTAATCTAAGGGAGGGGTGGTCCTTGTTGGGTGCTGTGTAAAAATCATGTTGAGAAAGCAGGGAAGGGTGGCAATACTGTCAAAATGCAAACACAACTAATGCAACAGACACAGGCTCTATTGGTATTAAGTATTAACAATTAAATATTTCTAACGTAAAACTCTTATTTCAATTGAATTTTCTCTTCTTGGTAATAGTGATTCAGTACAGCTCACTTCTAGGAGACATGATTTCGGAGTTAATAGTACCACCAAGCATTATTAATGCTAGTGATTGCAGTAACTGTCAAATGTAAGAACTAATATACAGGCTAGGGCAGGCTGTCATGACTGACTGGCAAACTTCTAATGTGTCGATTTTTGTCTCTGGCAAGATCCCACCAAATTTTTTGGTTGTGAGCTGGGGGCACAGACCCAGTTTGATGTTAAGAATGACCGTTACATTGTCAATGGATCTCATGAGGCGAATAAGCTGCAAGACATGTTGGATGGATTCATTAAAAAATTTGTTCTCTGTCCTGAGTGTGAGAATCCTGAAACTGATCTGGTGAGTGTGCTTAAAGCTTCTTATCACTAAATACCACAGGCCTGTTTAAACACAAGATTAGCTTCTAAGAAGTCGTGTGCACAAGTGCTAATGCATGTAAGATTGGCCACTTTTGAAATCAACTTCATGTTGATGTTAGTGTGTAGTTGAGGTGAGACTTCATTGAAAATAAGTGATTCAGCTGAAGATATACTCAGCTGCTGAAGTGTTAGCCTGGGAGTGTTTCTAGTCAGACATTACAAAAAAACCTTCAGTATTAAGACAATTAACTGATTATTTTTTATACAAAAGTCACTATTAGGGTAACTTTGATATTCAAACTTTACAGATCAGCTTGTTTCCCCGAAATCTCAATATTGGTGCATTTATTGTGTAAATTGTGGCCTAAACAAATAATACATGGGCTTGAATTAAGGTTTCTAACTTTGACTTTCCCTCTGGCAGCATGTCAATCCCAAGAAACAAACTATAGGTAACTCTTGTAAAGCCTGTGGCTATCGAGGCATGCTTGACACAAACCATAAACTCTGCACGTTCATTCTCAAAAACCCCCCTGGTAAGTGGTGCATATATTTCTCTCAAAGTTATCAAACTGTTAAACTCTTAAGCTATGTCTACAGTACATGGTTTTTGTGCAAAAACTCACAGGGCATCCACACCTCAAGCGCATTTTTGTGGAAGAAAATCTACAGTTCCTTGACAGAACGGGGCTTTTTGCAGCAAGGGTATACCTCCTTCTACAAGGCATAACTCCTTTTATGCAAGAACTTTTGTGCAAAAAGGTGTGCCAATATTTATTGTGCAAGAAACCCCTGTTGAGCATGCAATCAGAACTTCCTTGTGCAAGATTGTCCCTGCAGTATAGACAAAGCTTTAGAGTTGTGTTAAGGTACAAACTTCTGTGTTGGAGGGTATAGGCAGTGGGGAATGCCTGAGGTAGGCAGTGGAGTTGCACTGAATAGGACATTACTTAACTGGCTGTTCTGTGCAAGCAACACTCTGTGGCAGATAACCAGTTGCCTGTCTCAATTTAAGCTTGCTATAATAAAAGAGTCTAACCTATTCCAGTGGCCTCTGCTGCATGAGGTCAAATGTTATATAGACTCTAACAACCTATCTGAATTTGCAGGTGAGAACTTTCTTACTACACACTATCCAACTCTTTCTGTCCCAGTATTTCCCTGTCCGTCAAGGCTTATAAACAGCATTCTGAGCAACCTCTTCTGGAGAACAATTGTAGATTTACTTCCATTAAATCAGTCGAAGTCAAAATGAGTAATTGAGTCCGGCATGCTAGTTGCTACCTGTGAATGCCTCAGACAGGGCTACAGAGCTTTGTAGCAAAACCTTTATACAAAGGCAGTGTCTCCTATGTCACATCTACAGAATGGCTAGGAAGCCTTTTTGCCTCCTTTAGAATTCTTAGGGAACTGAACACCAAGTGTGATATTCAGTCCCTCTTCTAAGGGACATAATTGCAGCTCACATCTCAGGGCCTGATGATGCAAAGGACCAGAGATGTCACTGTTGCAATAAAAATTTGTCAAATGTACCTGATCTGAAAGTGGTTTGACTCCAGTTTTGTTAAAATACTTTCAGAAGCAGTTGGCTCAAAACTAGACACTTAATATAGCTAGTTTTGCAGCTATAACAGTTGGCCTTGGCCAATGAGTAAGTTAAGGAGACCTCGGATGGAGCGTTTTAAGCAGACCAAGTATATAATGACTAATAAAGCTGGAAAAATGTCAAAGTTCCTAAGTCAGTGGTTTGTTACCATCTACTAGGCTTACCAGTGACTGAAGTATTAAGGGGGGGGGGGGGTGGTCTTTTTTTTTTAAATTGTTGAACCGAAAGTAGCATGCAGCACTTGAATCCAGGAATTAACCAGGTGAAATTCTGTGGCCTGAACCACTGGTTCTCAAACAGGCATATGTGTTCTTCTCTCCTCTCCCTGTCCCTCACGTTGTCCAGGAACTACATCAACTCTCATAGTTGCCTAGTTTGCTAGTGCTTTTCCATGTAAGCTCTTGTAAAAGTTAACTAATGTCACACTCAATGACTTGCATATATAGAACAGTAGGAGCATAATTTTTTTTCTCAATGTGGAGATGCATTTTAATCTGCTGTGATGCTTTAAATGCCATAATTTAGCTGAAGTGAAACTTGTAGTTAAACTGGCCTCCTGAAAGTGGTACAGTAGTTTGGAAAGGTTGAGAAGTACTGGCCTATACCATAGAGCAGTGGTTCCCAACCACTGGCTGCTGGAGTT